AAACGGCTAGCAGGATCTGCACCAATTAGTCTCAAAATGGATGAATGCAGTCATTTACAAAAAAAATAGACAAACAATTTCGATGTCGCTTATGCCATCAAAGAGTACGTTGGATTTGTATAAAGTGTGAAGTTACTCTGTATATTAAACGTCATTGTTTTGTACAATTTTATACTAGTTAGATTATAATACAGGATATACCCAGATATGTAAACTAATATTTTTATTTTTACACAATGTTTTATATTTTTGATTCCCGATCAAACCATTGGACTCGTATCAGTACACCTACTTTTTGCCAAAAATTTTTGCCACCTACTTTTTTTAATTCATTAATCTCAAATATCCATGAACCATTTAACCCAGATCCAACAAGGACATTCAAAAAAATCTTGTATTATAAAAAAATGTGTGATCAAATGGGTTAAATAGTAGGTTAGGTTATATTGGGCTCAACATGAGGAGACGCTTAGATACCTTTCTGTAAGTTTAAAGTTATGTCCATTTAACCGAGCATCTTTAACAAAGTCTATTACAACCTTAAATAACACGTCAACAAAGTAGTGTCTGTGACTATAGCTGATATTTGCAATTTGCACTTTCTGTCAGTCCGATTTTGTTTATTTTGTTCTTTAAGATGACAATGTGTTACTAGGAGATTTGTGATAGTTTTTAAATCATAAGTATTTATATCTAGTCTCTTCTTTGAAGGTTCATGTATAAAAGCCTTCGAATGGTTGAGAGCCATTTTCTTGTACCAGTAGTTATGTTTCCGTTCCACTTAGTCTTATATTGTTCTTTTAACTATGATTTTTGCTGTATGTCCAGGGCACCCAACAGAATCTTACCTTGTTACCTTTTCCGATCAGATTTTAAAGACAGTTCCAAACTAACTTTGATTCAATACGATGTGAATTCAGTGTCTTTATTGCCACTTGGCTATGAGAAATAATCTTTATAGATTTGTCACTGCAATTTATCCTGATTATTTCGTAAAGGCACATTTTTATAGCATAAATTTCCGCATGAAAGATAGTAGATGTACTAAAGTTAGACTTGGGTTCCCTCTGTATACCCCCGATCCAAGTTTTTATCGATTTTAGAGCCAGTCTGTGTATACCGCGTTGTTCTGCCCTTATAAGATTAGTTTTATTCGACTTTCGTTCGTCCTTCCTGAAAAGAGGACCGTAAACGGCCTTTCAAAATGATACTAAGGGATCATTGCATCTGGTACCACTTAGAACTCTGGGTGATATTTAATTGTATCCCAGATTTGATCCTAGTATTCTTTTCCCCTACTTTCTGAAATCTTATACGCCTTCTGTATGATTCTACCTTCGTTTCCTTCTGCATTCATATAATATGTACTCAAGGAAGATCAAGCATGACCTCCATGGAGGTCCATTGGGATAGTCACATCGCTCTTATCCTGATGAAGCATACTTATTCGTTAAAGCTTAATTAGCTACTTTTTGGAGATATCTTGTTGGCATTGAAACCAACTAACATATTAGTGTGACATACGTAATAATAGGTCTAACTATAGTCATATATAGCCATTACATCTGTTTGGGTTTTAAACAACATGTTTTTCAACATATTCTTCGACATTTATAAACGAAAAGCTTTGTTTATTGGTTATTTTTACCAAATGCGCGTTTCATGTAAGAAGCTGATCTAGTACTACTGCTATATACTTGACCTTATTCGCCTCTTTGAGAGTTTCTCCATACAAAGTGGGCATCCAGATGTTATCTAGTTTCCGTCTCATTGTGAAACTGACTACTACTGTTGTAACAATGATTATTTTGCTAATTAGGGATTAAAAGGGAGGACTGTACTGAACAATCACTGAGCTTGGAGACAGGGTAAGCACATAAATTGAAACGTTTGCAAACGGCTACTCGTGTTTTGTTAGGTGTGGACACATCATTTTGTTCACTGCTGGACACAGGTCTCTCCCATTTTTCGCCACTCTTCACGCTTCTGAGCGTCTTGTTGCCATTTCTTGGATATTCGTTTAATGTCGTCCATCCAGAGTTTTAGTGGTGTCTTCTGCTGCGGTTGTCTTCTCTTGGGCGCCAGTCAATTAGTTTTCCGGTATATCTTAAGTCTTTTAGTCTCGCTATGTGACCTACCCAATTTCATTTCAGCTTGGCTATACGTTCGACGACATCAGTGGTACCTGTTCTTTTCTTAGGTCTTGGTTCCTTATTTTGTATTTTTTTGTCACGCCGAGAATCAATCTTTCCATGCGCCTTTGTGCCACTCGCATTTTTAGTGCTGTTGTTTTTGTGAGAGTGAGAGTTTCTGCTCCATATGTCATAATAGGAAGAACGTATTGGTAAAGTGTGTTCATAGCTATTCGTCGGTAAAATTCACAGGTCTGATTATCCTTGCTTATTCTGATTTCAATAACGAGATATATGTATTTCTGTCAATTCTATCACTTGATTTTGGATGTGTAGCTGTAACCTAAGAATACATATCAGTAGAATCATATTGTACTTCCTGATTACGTGTGTTTGTCTTTTTAAAGACAAATCACAAGCTATTCTGTTTTAACGGGTACTTTTTAGTAAAGTTGATTTATTGTAATTGAAAAAACTATCTTTTAATAAAGTCGACCCAGGAATGTAACTCAAAAATATTGGCAATATCATTTTAAAGTTATTAACTTTAAAATGTATCATATAATAATATGTCTGAATTGTCAATATAAACGGGAAAGATAAAATTAAACTATTAGATTTGTTTGAATTAGTAGAATTGTAGATTTTGAAACAAAATGAGTTTAATTTTTATTTTGTAACTGATTTCCAAAGTGGAAATCGAATCGTCAAAATATATATATTTTTTACTAACACTGTTGATAAATTTCCAATAAAAATTATGAAATTATGTATATTAAAGCTTTTACTTGCTGTTTCGATTTAGCTAATATCACAGTATCGACCGAATATGTAAATAAGTCAAATAGACCAGTGTCGAAGCCTTTAAAAAAGGTAAAATGTAAAAAAAATTTATAGTAGAATGAAACCTATTGGAAAAAGAAGAGAAAATGCTAAAATTGGAAGAAAAATAAATTACACTCCATCCGAGGTCGGGAAGTGGGAGGAGGGGTTTAAGGTTAAAAATCGGTTTATCGCGATTTTCGGCGAAACTACAAGTGCTATGGAAAAAAGTTAAATAACAAAGTTGTAGGTAACAAAAAGATCTATAACTTTTGTATTTACACTTTTTTCACAAAACCTCAAAATTTTTGTGGAAAATTCAAAAAACAAAGTTTTTGAATTTTTTATTTACGAAATTTGGTGAAAACTTGCTTAGTATGTATCAAATCACTGTAATTTTTTGGAATTGAAAAATTTATTTTTTTAACTGATATTGATTTATTATCGAAAAAGCACCCTAATTTTTAATCGAAAATTCACGCGTCAAAATATCAGCTTTTTTAAAAAAGTCGGTGGGCTTTTTGTTCGTTGAAATTTCTACTTTCCGATAGTATAAAAAAAATATACATTACTATGGAAAATGTTCACAAAAAACGCAAAAAACGAAGAAAACTCGAATCGAACAATTTTTTTTATCATTATGTACAATTTTGAGATATTTCTTATAATTAATACTGTAATTAGTCATGTAGCTTAAGATTTCATGATACATTGATAAACAAAAAATTATAAATCCACAAAACGTTAAGATTGCAAAAAGATATGTGAGAATAGCTGTTAAAAATATTCAATATAGGATTTAAAGGGAATTTCATCAAAAAAATGTGACTTGTATAAGATTTTTTTTTAATCAAAAAGCTGGTTTATTAATGTTTAATTACATTTTTGTCCTGGACAAGCTAACAATATATAATGTATGTATATATATATATATATATAATATATATATATATATATATATATATATATATATATATATATATATATATATATATATATATATACCTAGCTATCGCTTTGTTGTATTAAATTGGCCAAATATATGGCCTAGGAGGACAAATTCGTTAAACTTCCCGTGTTCGAATCGGTATCAATAAAGTGTTATGACTCATTTCGGCCTATCCCAGCCTCATCAGACACTTGGGCTGATACAAATTCAAACACGGAAAGTAGAACGAATGTCTCCTAAAGCTTCACCACTGCAGTGGTTTGCGAGCAGAGGCGCCACCTGCTTTGGCGGCCGTGAACGAAAACGATATAATCACATCGTTTTCTACCTCTGGGCTATGCGAAATGTGTAAAGAATAAATCTTTTAGCAAAAAGCTGCTATCGCTTTGTTGTATTAAATTGGCCAAATATATGGCCTAGGAGGACAAATTCGTTAAACTTCCCGTGTTCGAATCGGTATCAATAAAGTGTTATGACTCATTTCGGCCTATCCCAGCCTCATCAGACACTTGGGCTGATACAAATTCAAACACGGAAAGTAGAACGAATGTCTCCTAAAGCTTCACCACTGCAGTGGTTTGCGAGCAGAGGCGCCACCTACTTTGGCGGCCGTGAACGCCACATATATGATGTATATATTTACCATAATATTTTTTAGGGCATTAATTTTTGCCTCTTTGATGGCATTCCTTCGTTGTTTTCCAATTCCAAAAAATTACATTGTATTTGATACATACTAAAAAAATTTTAAATAAAAAAATTTGATAAAAATCAAAAATCTTTTTGTTACCTACAACTTTGCTATTTAACTTTTTTCCATAGCACTTGTAGTTTTGACGAAACTACAAGTCCTATGCAAGTTGCTATGTTTTGCGGTAAACCGATTTTTACCCTCTTTTAACTCCCTACAATTTTAGCACATTTTCTTCTTTTTCTAATAGGTTTCATTCTACCATAATTTTTTTTGGTTTCAAAAATTATCGACCCTCGTCTAAAATTACAAATATTATTAATAAATCAAAATAAAAGAGAAAAAAGTTTTATGTTTATTTCAGAAAAAAATTTGTTCAGATTGTACAATATTTTCACTATGGGTTTCACCAATATACCACAGTTGTTATTGATCTGGCACTTAAACTTAATTTAATATCTGACTTGCCACAGTTGATCAGAGTCCGTTTCACTGGAAAATCGTTCCTAAAAATATTTTAAAAATTAATTAATCCAATGAGTAAAACAGGGTATAGTAAATAAAATTGCCATAAAATTGACGAATATCTAAAAGTCAAAATCAAAGTCATCAACCATCGAGCAAAAAGACAAAAGAGACAATCTAATTGTTATGAAAAGGAGACCAAAATTCATAAAAGAGGCCTCCTAATATGGCGGACATATCCGGAAATGCAAAGGCGCTAAATTTAGATTTTACGACTTTTCACAAAAATCATACAGTGGTGTAGGATTTCTAATTTATCTAATGGAATTAGTAAAAAGTTTGAAAATTTTAATATAATGATTGTTTTAATTAGGAAAATATTTCATGTTTTTTTATAAGGTCATAAAACAGTAGTTATAAAATATTTTAGAGCAAAATAAAGTTTTAATTAAATAATAATATCAACAGTCTAAAATACGACACAATTGTTAAAAAACTCAAGTCCAGGCCGCATAGTGAGAAATCAAATAGATTACATTCTCATTAATAAAAGATTCCGGAACAGCATAACATCAGTCAAGACATACCCAGGAGCTGATATCAAATCAGACCATAAACCATTGATTGGCAAAATTAGGTTAAAAGAAGGTTAGACGTAGTGTCAATCCAAAATTCGACATCAAGCTGTTAAAAGACCAACACACAGAACATAGTGTAAACCGGTATATACAAAACAATTTGAATACCGTTATTCAATCGGATGTAATGGACCAGAAGCTAGAAAAGTTACATACAGTTTCAAAAGACATACGAGAGACATTTCTCAAACCACCAAAAATTAAGAAGAAATCGTGGATGACAAATGAGATTCTAGATATGATGGAAGAGAGGCGAAAGTTCAAAGATCAAGACATGTCATTATACAAAAGAATCGATAAAAAGATCAAAAAAGCTATTAGAATAGCTAAGGATACACATATAATTAAACAGTGTTCGGAAATACAGCAATTGCAACATAAACACGATACATTTAATATGCACAAAAAAGTTCAAGAAGCCGCAGGCTTATACAAACCTAGAAGAGTTAGGTATTTGGCAGATAACCAAGGCAAACCACTGTCAACTGTGGAAGAAAAACTAGACATTTGAAAGAATTATGTGGAAGTAACTTTTGCAGATGAAAGGCAGACTACCATTGAAGACACTGAATGACAAACAGGACCCCCGATTACCCCCGATAACAACTGTATTCAACAACATATACGTAACTGTAAAAATACCCCAAAGCTGATTAAAGTCGACGTTCGTGACCATACCAAAAAAAGTAAATGCCAAGACATGCGAAGACTGCAGAACAATTCACCTAATGAGCCACTTACTTAAATTGTTCTTGATAGTGACACACGTCAGAATATATAAAAAATGCGAAGAACAAGTATCATGGACGCGGTTTGGATTCCGCGATTCCTTAGGCACCCGAGAGGCTCTACTCGCTGTCCAAGTGCTTATGCAAAGATGCAGGGATGTTAACTGCGATGTGTATATTTGTTTTATCGACTACAAAAAGGCATTTGATAGAGTAAAACATGATAAACTTATAAACATCTTGAAAGAAGTGGGGTTAGATGATAGGGACTTGAGAATCATCTATAATTTATATTACAACCAAACAGCCAATATTAAAGTGGATGATCAATTGACAGAGGCAGTCTCCATAGATAGAGGAGTGAGGCAAGGATGCATTCTGTCCCCGGTGTTATTTAATATATACTCTGAATATATCTTCGAGCAAGCGCTGGGAGAACTACAAGGAAGCGTATTAGTCAACGGCATGCGTCTAAACAACATTAGATATGCCGACGACGCAGTAGTTTTTGCAGATAGTCTGGACGGTTTGCAAATAATGATGTCGCGCACATCACATATAAATAGAGAACACGAACTTGATCCTAATACGAAGAAAACAAAGTACATGGTAGTCAGTAAGCGCGAAATATTAAATACACAGCTTTTGGTTAACCAACATCCAATTGACAGAGTGGACAGCTACAGATTCCTTGGTAGCAACATTAAGAGCCAATGGGATCACTTCAGTGAAAAAAAAACAACGCATAGGAAAAGCAAGATCAGCGTTCATAATGATGAATTCTCTTTTCAGAAGTCATGATTTACCACTTGCTACCAAAATTTTTCTCATTATGTATTTTCTATGTATTTTCTACCTTATTATACGGGGTAGAGGCCTGGAGACTTTTCGAAGCTTCCTTAAGAAAACTCGAGGCATTCGAGATGTGGTGTTACAGACGTATCTTATTAATTTCATGGGTGGATCGTGTGACTAATGTTGAGGTCCTACGTAGAATAGGCAAGGAATGCGAGATTATTAACACCATCAAAGAGCGCAAACTAGAATATCTTGGCCATGTTATGAGGAATGAACAGAGATACGGCTTGTTGCAACTCACTCTTCAGGGGAAGGTATTTGGAAAGAGAGGACCAGGGAGAAGAAGAATATCTTGGCTTCAAAACCTGAGAAAGTGGTTTAATACATCGACAACCAGACTATTTAGAATAGCAGCAAGCAAAGTTAGGATAGCCATGCTGATCGCCAATATCCGGAACGGATAGGCACCGTAAGAAGAAGAAAAACCTTTACATTCCTTCTTCTATCTTTTTGCTCGATATCCTTAACTGACATTTTGTAGTAGAACCCACAGTTGTAGCATTTGCAATTCATTGATTTTTTTTTGTGTATATTGAAATTCCGTCGTATATGTAATATATTGAAATCTCCTCATATATGTTTAAAAAATGGAATAATATCTTTAATGTATCTTTCTATCGTACGTATTAAAACACAAATATGTTTTCAATTCCTTCTTAAGTCGGCTCGAGAATATAAACCATTTTATAGTTTATTTATATTTATTTATTTTAACCCTACAATGCGCAATTTTTTATTATCAAAAAAAAAAATAGGAGGATAGATTAACTGATTATAAGTAAGGAAAAAGTATTAAAAAAAATCAACCATCCAAATTTTCTTTATAATTTAATATTGTATTGGCGATGCTTATATGCATCATTGCGCACAAAGGAGCACAACATAAAGTAGTAAGGTGAAAGTAACTAAGATTTATGAAAGGTTTTGAAACAGTTGTTTTTTTTTTGTTTAAACACGAAGCCGTATTACACTTTTCACATACTATAAAAGTTTGATTCTCACACACAGGATTCTTACAACGTAGCCGTGTATTGATCCAAATGGAAAGATGATTTTGGTTGTCCAATCTAACATCCTGAGGTGGCAAGAGAGCAACATTAGCGTTTTTTCTTTTAAAATCGATTTGTTGTTGCAAGTCAGGTGATCGTCCTCTTTTCGTCGCATTTTGTGAGCCAATAGTACATAGTGCTCACGCTAAGTCAATTTTAAATTGTGCAAGTTTTAAAAGGTTTGGCCTACCTTCATTACATCGTCGATAAAGAAGCCAAGCGTTTATTACAATTATGTCAATAAGGTGATAAAATAACCTCATGTACCATTTTCTTGACCTCATCTTTATTTTGTATCTACAAATGATGCTATCAAACAAATCAACCTGACCCATGTGACGGTTATAATGTAACTGTTTTATTATCTTTCCAGAAAACATTACTTATATCTGTACCTTCATAATCTGCTACAAATTCTTCAAAAGTTTCTCTGGGTAATTTATTCAATACTGCTTCAGTTGGCATTTTACAGCATGGAATTCGATTTCTGCGTACTGTTCCAAGACTATGAGTTAACTTGTGATAACAATTTCTAGAAATTTCCCGTGCCAATCTCACGACAATGTTGCTACTTGCACCCAAATCAGGTTCATTTTGTAGCCGTTTTATTGGACCATTTTCCGTGCCAGTGTATATTTCAAAATTATAACAAAAACCTGAAACCCCAGAAAGCACAAAGAGCTTATATCCCCATTTGTGTGGTTTAAGCGGCAACTATTGCTTTATGTGGTGGCGAGATATTGTTGCACATATCTGCTCATATATAGACAGCATTTCTTCCATAGGTCCATCCATTCCGTCTTCTATCCAATTGTTAAAAATTTTAATGATAGGGAATTTATAACAGGTTCGAATCTGTGTAATTTGTCACCGGCTGAATTAATCTGATTATCATTAAAATGTAAATTAGAGCGTATTTTTTCAAATGACTTTTGACTCATAGCATTTTGAACCATTGCTAATCCAATAGTAACATTCCAATACATTCTTATATTAGGTATTACAACTACAGAAGTTATTATAAAAATTCCTAAATATTTGTTCAAGTCATTCTTTGTTATTTCAAAATTAGGATGAACAGTGGAATAGGCATCACATTTTAACATCTTTAAGTTTATCAATGGACTTTGCCTTTAATCTTCATCTTCCATTCCGTGCAACAAAATGAATCAATCTGAGATCAGTCAGAGTCTCGGGAAGTCAGTTGTCATTTAGCAAACAGCCCACGTTTTTAAATTGCTTGATTTGTTTTATATTTACGTATATTATATTCTGTATTTGTTTTATATTTACGTATATTTTTGCGTTTGAGTAATAATTTCTTCCTGTAACCATGTCTTAGGCTTCGTGATATATATTTTTAAATCTAAAGCTTTATTTTCTAGAGTTAGATCATTTAAAAGACATTAAAGAATATTGACGTTATTTACCAGTATGGCTACCTAATGTCGTTAAAAAATATGCTGTTTACTTTAGTATGCTTACTAGAAAGTGCCATTATCTCTGTAAGTTCTGTCTTATCGTAATAATAAAAAATAAATTTAACAATTTAAAGCAAGTTAACATTACTAACCTATTTAAAATAACTACTACGATACCACCATCAGGTCTTTGAAAAGCACTTTGTTGAACCAAATTGTCAGAATCACACTGAGAAGAATATATTCTAAATGAACCTCTTGTAATAAATTTAGAGAAGTGAGCTAATGCATAGTATTGCGGTTCCTTGTAAAACTCAGTTACATTTGACATAATCGGTGCGATTAATGGATCGGATAAAGTTGGACCTCCTTTAGTATCTAGTACCATGTTCCAGTCTATCCATCCAGTTACCCAGTGGTTGAAGTCCTTAAAACATTATAATATCTAATAAACCTATATGACAATCAATTTATATTTTTTACCACACTAAACTACGTTACGCTAGATTATTTATGTTGACAATTAATCAATTTTATATTTCTACCTTTTTGGTATATTAAAAATATAAGCATATTTATATAAAAGCGTAGATGACTTTAATAAATTAGAATTTAATAGGTTAATCCATGGACGTATAAACATGATGGACACAGCAAAAAGATACTTTTAACACACGTGTTTGTGTGTGTTATATTTATAATTATTCAGATTTTAAAAATTGAAAGTAGTAATAATGTATAAAAACACGTTCAAAGAATTAAAAAAAAACGAGAGTTTAACTATTAACAAATCACGTCTTTATAGTAAAATTAAAATACAATTTTATTTCCTTTAAAATTAATACAATTAAATATAGTTGTATTCAAGTTAATTTTTTAATAGGTATCAAAATAATGCTACAATAAAAAATCTTTGTCAATAAAAATCAAAAAATCATATGAAAATGTTTTCTCCTTAATTTGCTACCCAAATAGTTCGATCGTCAATATTATTTGGAAACCTACATAGAAAAATAAATGAGTTTTATTCATTTCACTAATTTATTTGTATTCATGAGAAATATTAAATTAAAAAGGTACTAAACAGATCTTTTTTAATCAGATGATGTCTACTTACAATTTATAAATGTCTACTAATTTCATGAACTCATATCTTATTCAATACATTAATGAACATAAATAAACCCAATGGTACGCCTATTAAAATGTAAACAAACACGCTTCCTCATTTCCTCATCTTAAATAATGTAAATTGTATGTAAATAAAAATGAAATGAGAGATCGGGATGTAAATATTTTGTTTATTTTATTTCACTTTTCACAAATATCACTTAAAATACATCCAAAATATCGAAAAACAACTTTTTCCTCATCTACTGTAAAAAGTAAACAAACATGGAACAGGATTTGAAGTTTGACGTAGATCCATAAGATAGAGAAATGTAAACAACTGTTGCTATTTATAAATAGTTTTCAGTGCTTTTACATATAAAATAATTGATTGATATCTATCATACGCTATTATTAAATGATAATGCACACTATGTGCATACTTGATATTAAATATATTAATATAACCAATAAATTATTATTTTGGTTTGATAGCACCTGTAGAGTATAAAATACGAAGTAATATTTTCAGCGACTCGCAAATAAGACATTTTAAAACAAAACGTGACAACAGTTGAAGGTGCTGAGAATGTGACCTATTCAAATAATTTTGACTACACAATTTTATGTAAATAACTGAATCCATCTGTGTTTATACGTCCATGGGTTAATCGATAAATAAATATATGTATATACCATGACACTAACGTGTGTTTGTATATTCATAAACAAAAATGTTGTACATCTTTCTTGTTTTTTTAACTTCTCTAATGTATATAACTAAATATTGTTTAGTGTGGTATTTTTCATACCTTACAATTTATTACAGATTAAAGAAAATTAAAATATTACCCTTTCAAGAGAATTACGAAAGGTAATAACTTAATAAACAAAACAATAAATTCTATTGATATTACCTTCCAGAATCAGTTGTAAGTTATCACGAAATCAAGAATATAACGATATTAGAATATTTAATTAAATAATAATATGGATTCGATATTAGAATATTTAATAAAATTAAATAGTAAGATTTTTAATTTTTATATACTTAGTGCGTGAATATAATATTTGAGGTAGAATCGACTATTTTAATTTTAGTAATGATAGAGACGCTTTTAGCCCTTTATCGCACAAAGGCGTATATCTTAAATGACAAAATTGAAAATTTGACTGGTGTGTTAAAAGGGACAAAATAAAGTAAAAACATTTGATTTATAAAAAATATATTGCAAATAAAAAAGTTTGATAATGTAACCATATAGTCACATTGACCATTCATTGTTATGTTTTAAGACATAACTTACTTACTCATGAAATGATACAAAACAATTTTTTTTATCTGTGATACAAAGTCTAGCATTACATTTTTACATTGAAATCGACTTGTACCTATTTGACAGTACCTAGACCTCCCTTTCGTTGTGTGGAGAGGCCAGTGGCCAACACAATCTTTTCTTGTCATATTATCTGGTCTAGCAATAACTGGATATTTAATTTTTTCTATTGAAACCATATTAAATGAGCTAGGTCTACCACGTCGAAATTTTTTCCCGGCTTTAGTTAACGAGGATGCAAGCTCTTTACGAAAAACTTTTAAAGGTTCATATTTTTTTATATTTAAAACCTCACAATCATTCCGATAGATAAACCAAGCATTTACGACGCTTATATCCAGAAGATAGGTAAATATTGAATAATACCATCGCTTAGATTTACACGCCGTCTTATAAAGACCCATTAGCGCAGCATTGGCTTTATCTACTCCACCCATGTGCTTGTTGTAGTTTGTGACTACAGATGGACATACAATATTGAGTTTCATTTAAGCAGTTTTGCAGTACCTTTTTACTGGACTCGTTGGCTCGACTCCATAGGCTGTGCCACCAAGTATAGTCGGCACGTAATTTCGTGAGAAAATTTACAGATACCAAAGCAAGCAAAATATTAGTAAAATGGCAACGCTGTTAGAGTTACCACTACTTTATTGTAGTATATAGTAGTAGAACAGTAGCGTAGATATCTAATTTTAAATTAAAGTTTTTACTTTTATTTAATTTTATTTACCAAAAAGTTTCATTTTCTATAAAGTATAAATAAAAAATATCGGTGTTTTTACCTTCTGTGATATATCTTGGGAGTGATATAATTAATCGACTCGACTAAACAGAACTTATTGTAAAATAATAATATCTATATAAAACATTATTAATACTAGTAGTTATTTAGCGAGAATGACAGTGACAGTTTCAGTTGACATCCTCCCCTAAAACATTAATAATTTTTGTCCTGTCAAGAAGTGTGTTTATACCCTGTTTTCAAAGATATATAAGCAAAATGAGAATATCTACAATTAAAATAGAAATAAAGGTTTCAACTAACACCTAATAAGTAAATTACTATTAAACTGGGAATAAGCCACAATTAAAGATAAAAATACGTTTATTGACGTTTCAATTTCCACTTCGGAAATCGTTCTCAAAATACAAACAGTATAATATGTACTTACTATCTACTCAGAATCACTGTTATCACTAGTATCACTTGTATCATCTAAATTTATAGGTAATTTGGTTAATGCTGGTAAATATTTAACATAGTCATTTTCCACTCTGATCACATGTTTTATTTTTATTACATTTTTCCAGTTGGTTGCTGTAATTTTTGTGACTTCTCTTCTAATTAACTGGAGAACAGTGGACAAAAAATTTTGGAGCAACGTTTCTTCTCATTATATTTCCTTTAAGTTGAGCCCATAGTAACTCTATTGGGTTCAATGTACAATAATAAGGAGGAAGTCTAAACACAGTATGCCCGTTACTACGAGCATAACAACACTACGAGCAGTTGTCAACAACATATTCCTTTTCGTACTGTTTACTATGAACAACCTCCAACAATTGCTTTTTAATATAAGATGTCTCAAAATACAAATCTTCCGTGAATAAAAATTCCTGAATTTTTAATTTATTCCAACAATTATTTGAAGTTTTTTTCATTAATCTTGAATGATATGATGATCTTTAAGTAATTTTGGAAGAAGACATTTTTCAGACCATGATTCAAAAATTGAACTTTCCATATCGTCATGATAATCCAGCGATGCGTTTTTAATTTGTTTTGCAGATATTAATAATGCATCGTCGACCCATCCATTTTCTCCACCGCAGTGTAAAATTATAATCCTCTTTCTTTTATTGGGCGGTACTGAGTTGAAACACTTTTTGTTATTGTTTGTCCAACTTTTTTTTCACGGTGTCATGAGTATCATACCAGGTCTCATCTAAATAAACAATATTTCGTTTCATTTTTCGATACTCAGTTATCTGTCTGATATAATTGTTTCTTAAAGAAATTATTCTAGTACTTTCCATTAATGGCTGTCTCTTGTCTATAGTTTTGTACTTAAAATTATTGGCTTTAAGAAATAATCGAAGTGTTGTTGCTGAACACGAGAGAATGCACTTTCGAACTAATTCACTTCGAAGGCTTTCAATAGTTGGAAAAATATTAGCCGCATATATTTGGTATATTGAATTTGGTATATTTGGTTCTATTTTTCTGAATTTGCCACAATCATTTTTCTTCTGTCTAGAAGATATTTCTCCTATAATTTTGTAGCAGGTTGCTTTGGGCACTCTGGTAAAAAAACATGTTTCTGCAATTGCCTCTGATTTAGACAATTTAGCACACAGTCCTTCATAAACATTTTTTAGCATACGTTTGGCATCATCAGAAAGGTATTGAAAATGTCGCTTACGTTTTACTACACGCCTTTGTAAATCTTCCAATAGATTGGAGGCTTCCATTGTCTCTTCAGCTACATAATAATTATCGCACCACGGACGCAATATTTTAAAATTATCAAACGTATTAAAACATAATCACGTAAAAACGTATCAAAAAAAAGTAAAAAACGTAAAATATAAAATATTTCCGTATAAAGAACACTGAAAAAAGTCACTACCAAACTAACTTGCGGTTCACTATTTGAAATTTTAATTTAACTGAACGCTGTAGCAGTTATGATTTTACTAAAAATATTCTTGTCTCCCAAAAATCTGTTGGCCATATCCGCAATTTAAAAATAAAATATTATAAAAATTTGCCTAAGTATTCCCTGTCCCGTGCCTTCGGCACTTCGAAACCTGATCCCTTATTTTATGACTTCGTAAGCTCAGTCAAATACTGATATAATCTTACCCCAAGTATGAATAAGTCTACCGACAAAAGATAATGCATTATGATTTGTCATAACAGCGACATCCGATGTTTTCATTGGTTGTTAGTCCACGTGGACTTATCATAAGTTCGATG